TTAGGAAAGTTGGTAAACGAAAAACGCTTTCTAGTAAAAAAAAAATTTAGCTTGATTTTCAGGAAAGTGTTTTCCTGAAAAATTTGGGAGGAAAACACTTTCCGAAAGTTGTGAAAAATTTAAAAATATCATTATTTACTGATTATATCAAATTTAATCCTCAAAACTTTTTATTGCTATATAAATATTGTTTTGAATATTTATTTTTCAATTTCATTTCTTAAAATTTAATTTTTATATTAACTTTCGTCCTCATTTTTATAATTGTTATTTGCTTTTCTCCTATTATTTTTTTATTGAAATTTTTATCTATCAAATTTGATCCTCATTCTTTTGATTGTTATTTATTTTATTTGAAATACTTTATGAAATGTTAATTATTATTATTTTAATTTCTTCATCTTTTTTTTTAAGATTTGATCTTTATTATTTTGATTATTATTTATTTTATTTGAGATAATTTATGAAATTATTTTTTTTTAATTTCATTATTATTCAACCTTTTAATTTGTAATATTTGTTCCTCGTTATTTTAATAAACTTGAAAAATATAAAACATTAATAAATTATTTTCCAGTTCATTTTCCATAACATAACCAAACACTGGAAAATGTTTTCCAATTCATTTTCCATAACACTACCATTCATCAAAAAAAAATTTACTTTTTAGAAATTTATTTTTTCTGAAATTCACTTTTTAGGAATTTATTTTTCTTAAAATTTATTTTCCAAAATAAAATAACTTTCTTGCAAACAAATAGGGACTATATCATAGTGAAAACCATGGAGAAAAAGAAATTTATCTTGAATTTTATCACTTTCGGATATAAATGATTTTATTTGAATTCTTGAGACACTATACTTAATGACTAGTTAGAAAAATATAATAAGACAATTAACATTTACTGCCTAAACTTGTCTAATTAACTAAATAGCTAATTTCCATCAAGTCTCTACGTAACTATGCATGAAAATATGACATTATTAAATTATTTCAATTTATTAGATGATCTTTTATATCCTTTTTTTATTTTAAAACTATTTTCAATTTATTCTTCAAGAAAATTTGTTATAAATAGGACATAAATAAAAAGATATCTCATAAATAAAATATATTTAGTAGCATTTAGCATGCATATTTAACGAGGAGACTCGAATTCAGGTATTATGAGAAACATAATAGTTAGAGCGTTAAGCACCGCGCTCTCGTAGCTCAGTTGGTTAGAGCACCCGTTTAGTAAGCGGGAGGTGTTGAGTTCGACTCTCAACGAGAGCAAAGCTAACCACTTATTTATCTTCTGTTTTTACCTCTCGTTATTCTACCCCTGAGATGAGGAAAGAATGCATATCTAAAGTAAAGGGTGCTAGCGAGAGGCTTTTGAAGGAAGGTCCTTGTTTTTACTGTTTCATCAAGGAATTCATGCCTGGCCTTGCTTTCTTCGCTCCTTCAATGTCTCCAGCTACTTCCTGTTGATGCGCCGCGTATCCTATTGACTTCCACCTGAGGATGCTCAAACAATCTAAATTCAGGGCATCACGAGGCCTGCGATCTGTCGCTGGCAAGACATGGCGGGGTCAAGCGTACCATTGGTCTTATCCATGTGGAGACTAGAGGAGAATGTCATCTGTGATGTTGAAAACTATTGATAAGGACCAAAGAAAGGCTCACAATAGATCAGCAAAGGCACGGAAGAAGCAAGGAAACAGCAGCAACCGAAATTCCAGGCAGCAGAGTCGGTGCAGGGATGGATTCCCAGCACCTATAAGTCGGCAGCCAGAGGGAGTTTCTCAGCAGGAATTGGACTGGAAGAAATAGGAGCAATCCTACAAGGAAGAGGAGAAAACAAGTCTAGAAATTGAGGCATGCTAAGCGGGAAAATCACTCTTAAAGCCTGAAGCTCAGCCAGCCAGTCTTGGGCTCCTGAGTCCCGATTTGTGCCAACTAGCTTAGATTAGATTAGGATTAGTTATTTTCGAGTAAATAGAGTCTTATTAGGCTAGAAAGCAAAGCTATATAAATAGTCTAAGGTGTATTGAGCATTCATTCGAGTAACAAATAAACAACGAACATCTTTTAGAACTTTCCGAACCAACATTTCTCACTGTTATGGATGTCATGTATGGTTTGAAAAGGCAAGGTCATATTCTTAATGGATTTGGTAGTTGAAGGGATGTGGTATGTTAGGACTTGATTCTGGTTATAAACTAATAATCATTCTGTTTGTTGTCGTTCCTTGGTTGATAATTGGGTCGACAAGGAACACCAGTTCTAGGTCCAGTTTAATGTACTAATGAAGAGAGAGGGACTAGGTTTTTTTTTTTTTTTTCTGCGGCCACTTGCAGCGATGGGCTCTGATTCAGCA